ACACTGTTTACCAAAAATTTGTAAGCGAAACCTGCTGTCACTGTTTAGTGCACATTCACTAGAGGTTGTCACCTAAGGCAATGCAGAAACTTCAAGCGGAGCTTGATATGTGGGGTTTCACATCCCAAAACCACCGTATGATTATGAGAGACACCGTTGCGGAGGGCCCCGGAAATTTCCACTACCTGGAGTTCTTTAACGTGCACTTGAATCTGAGCACACGGGCCTACAACATTTTCGCCTCCATCGAAAACGCAGCCGCCGCAGCCGGGATTCGATCTCGCGACCTGCAGCTCATAGCCGAGTACCTTAGCCACTAAACCACCGCGGCGAGGGAAAGTGAAGCTCCTTAAGCTTTTCGTTACGCTGCGTGCGTGAATGCAAACTAACCCAGCTTGCTTTTGCCACGTTAATGATTGTGGCCTTGTGCACGGTATGTATAATCAGTGATAACTTTTTGTTATATTCTGATACCCGACTGATGCCCCACCGCGGTGACTTAGTGGCTAAGGTACTCGGCTACTGACCTGCAGGTCGCGGGATCGAATCCCGGCTGTGGCGGCTGCATTTCCGATGGAGGCTGAAATGTCGTAGGCCCATGTGCTCAAATTTGGGTGCACGTTGAAGAACTCCAGGTGGTCGCAATTTCTGGAGCCCTTCACTACGGTGTCTCTCATAATCATATGGTGGTTTTGGGACGTTAAACCCCGCATATCATACCCGAGTGATGACCCTGTGTGGTATCAATATGGACTCTTTTGTGATGTCGCTCTCACTGAACGAACGTTACTGAGGCAAACTGCAGTCATTGATATTGGCTAGGGGGTGCAATAAGGCAGAACTTGCCCCCTTCCTGAGAGTCGCACCAGTACCTACCACTCAAGACTCCTCTTACTGCGATACAACGTGAGCTTGTGCCCGCCGATGTCATAGCTTCAATCCGAGCACAATTCCCTTAGATTTGGTAATTTGATGCTGCTTTGCATTTCTAGTAGATGCCACAAATGGTAGATTGACTGCCGAAGCAGCAATTTAAATAGATGCTATGCAGTAAATATGTCATGTGTTGTTTGCAATTGCCAGAGTGGCAAAAATCAGCAATTCTCAATCATGTTCCTGCTCACTGTCACTATTGTTGCATTGCAGAAAAAGGAAAAAGCAGTTCTTCACCATTGAGTAGCACTCGATCGCCACAGGGACGTTCTCAGGCGGGTTCGAAAGTCCACGTGTTTGCAAGACCATATAGCAGGGACAGTGATGCAATCTCTATTGCCGGCCTCAACTACGTAATCAACAGCGTGGCCTGTGTCGTATACCACACACCGCTGTCACAGCGCCGTCAATGCGATACCGCGACGTTTCGCAAGCTGTATCTACTTGCCTGTAGATGCTGGACAAAGGCTCGCTTATTGAACTTTCAACTTTATTTCAGATAAAGACAAATAATGTGGGCATTTGTCCTGTCTAGGAGAGGTGACAAAAAGGCACAAGTGCCTGACTGAGTGGCTCACCCCTTTCTAGACACACATAACTCGAACATCAGTAGCAGTTTGTAGGGGTGCTGACACTTCCTGTAAAGTTGTTTGCGCCGCGTGGCTCATGTGTCTCGCACAGAAGCCGTATTTCGGGGGTGACAACCTCGAAATACGTTGAGTACCACTGTTGAGTACCACTGTTGGTAGAGTGGTAGCGCCGGCGGTGACCCCTGGTGGAAGGGAGGCCTTGGTGGCGGGCGAGAGTTGAGCGAGTCTCTTCTGCGCGTGGTGGTTCTCGCAAACGGTTGTCTCTAGCATGGGTCCTCGGCGCGGGCCATTGCGGGCCTGCGTGTTGGGTGCCCTCGTGGTAAGTCAAGCGTTGGCGACGCGCTTTGGTTGTGTTATTGTGTTTGTCGTGTTGTTGGTTGTGTTGTCATGAAGTGCATGGTCATATTGTGTACGAATGTCCTAGTGGGTTGATCACGATTGATGTACCGATTCGGCGGACGATATCGTCGTCTAAATTAGTTAAATAAATGCATGTATGTTAGCTGGTTTGTACCGACCGTGTCAACGGTGCCCTTTGACTCCAAGAGAGCAGCTCTCGGCCATTCGAGACCCCACAAGTTAAAGAATCAAAAATACATACAAAAGATTACATATACCATACAACTTTAGGCAAAACATATGCAGGATTTTATAGATATATACATTGTTTTATATACACATAAAACAGAAAGATTTTTCAAGTATAGACTGCAGCAAGGGAAAAAACGGAATATTCCTGTATTGAAATTATTTATTTTATTTATTCACAATACTGTAAGCCCTGTCGGGCTGTTACAGAGTGGGAACTACATCATACAATGACAATTCTAATTTACCAACAAAAGATTGAACTGTGTCTACATTTTCAAAGAAATCGGCGGCAAGACAGTTCCAGTCAACAATCGTTCTGACAAGAAAAGTGTTTTTAAATGTGTCAATTCTCGGTGTGTAGGGCATAATTACGTGTGGGTGATTGGTTCTTGATGAGACTCTTGCTGGGGGACGCAAATAGAGAGAATGGTTTAAATTGAGCTTATTGTTATAAAGCTGATATAAAAACTTTAGTCAAGTGATTTTTCGGCGAATGGCAAGTTGAGGAAGTTTAACCTCAGTGAGCAGGGTTGTTATTGACTGTCTCCTCTCATAAACGGAAAAAATAAATCGCGCTGCTAGCCTCTGAACACGCTCCAGTTTATCTATTTGATATTGGTGATGCGGGTCCCAGATCATACTAGTGTATTCTAAGTTAGGCCGAACAATAGTTTTGTACGCCTGAAGTTTAACCTCAGGAGGAGCACCTCTTAATTTACGTCTCAGTAGTCCAAGTTTCCGCTGCGCTGATCCGCAGATATTGTCAATATGTGCATTCCAATTTAGTGTATCTGTAATTGTCATACCAAGATATTTAATGTGGGTGGATCTTTTGATTTGGTTAGTATTCACTGTATAGTCAAACATTAAAGGCGTTTTCTTGTTTGAGACTGTCATGCAGGCAGACTTCTTAGGGTTGATTTCCATATCCCATTTTGCCCACCAATTGTGAATAATGTTTAAGGCATCATTTAAACAAGTTTGGTGAGAGACAGTCTTGACGCGTGTAAACAAAATACAATCGTCGGCAAACAATCGCACTTCAATGTTGGGATGTACACCACTTGCAATGTCATTAATGTACAATTAGGTATGAAGTTAACCTTTTTTTGAAGCATTTCATGTGCATCGTTTCCTGTACCAAGTTTATCACGGTGGGATGATGGTTTAAGAAATCTGCTATAGCGTAAGATTGTTTTTGCATACCATAATTAGTTCGCATGAAACCTTTATCATGTATAGTTTTTCTAGTTTTGTGTGTTCTTTCCTCAGAAATCGTCGATAAAAGCTGTCCTGCCATCACTTCATTTTCTGGAATATTGCAATGCTTGGCTTCTTCTCCAGTATATGTTGCATTGTTAATATGATGTTTTTGCTTTAAAAAGTGGAGCAAAGGAAGTTATATATGGCACATTTTCAATAACTCGCAAAATACGTTTTTGTAAAATATGCAGCTTTCTAAGATCAGTTTTTGTTGATAAGACAGTTGTTGTTGTTCCCCACACAAGGAGGCAGTATTGCAAATGGCAATCAATTCATTCGAAGTATAGCTGAATTTTTAGCCACGGTGGCAAAAGTTGCTTCGCTCTACTTATAATGCTTATTAAGCGTGAGATGCGTCTTGTGAGGTTATCGACATGAGGAGACCAGCTGAGGTTTTCTTCGAAAGAAACACCCGGACTAATTGGTATCGCACGGTGGGAAACTGCAGATGACGAGCGAGAACATTCACACGTAGTTTCACCTTCTTACCAGAAATGCGGTTAGCTGCATCGGCGTGCTCCTCGGCCATATGGGCGGTTTCTCGACGCTGCGGATTGGGCCGCAACTAAAACAAATTCATAATTGCACTCAAAAACATTCGTTGCACGTGTTATTTGACCCTCGCGAGACTGTTCGTTCGACAAATTTCTGGCTTGAAGCAGATGATTCGTGCACAGGAGCAGCGGCATCTGCAGAGCAGCAGAGAGTGGAGTTCGCAAACTGACGTTAAGCACGAGAGGGCGCCACTCCAAGATCTCGAGGGCAATTCACGGCCGCATCACTGTACTTTAAGTGTGCGCTCTTATGAAAAAAAAGCCACAGCTAACTGGTCTAGAGTTGCCAGCCGTAATTCCACTTCAGAGTGTCACCCATCTCAAGACCTCGCTGTGACATCGTTTGTGAGTCCTGCTGCAACTCGCCTATAAATTATAATATTTTTCTGAATTGGCATATTTAAGCATTTTTTATGCATGCTAGAGTTTTCTTGATGTCTTGCATTAAAAAAAATTTGAGCATAAATGTGTTAACTGAATTCAATAATGATTCTTGGATTACATAGATTCATATGAAGCATTATTTCACTGTGTACGTTTTTATTGAACCAATATTGTTTATTGTTTGGTCAAAAAAAAAAAAAGTCTGACGAGGTTATTCATTGTCATTAGATCACTTCATCATGTGATGTCATCACATATGATCTTCTTCATCAGACGCACAAGTACCAACCTGGAAGGTCACCAGAACGGACATTCTTGCAGCTCCACAGTGCTTCAAAATAAAAGACTAGATGCTCCAGAAATCATTCCTATCAGAATTTCTTGGTAGCATAGTTGAGTATGCCAAACATTTGCAAGTGAATAGATGTCAAGCCTAAACCTTGGTCATGAATGTTCAATGTACTAGAACTTATCTTCAAAAGGGTTCTCATCTCCTTACACACGGTTATCATGCTGTATTATTCTGATTTACTTCTATTATTTCAGGCTAGCCCTTGCACGTGGAATGTTTGATAGCTTATAAGCTCGATGTTGTACTAAAAAAGTGATTGCATGCTTAAAATCAGGAATGCTTTTAACAAAAAGTATACTTCTCTCTTGCATACTCATCGACTGGTGTGACCAGTGCAGCAGAAGATGCAGTGTGTGCTGTGGTCTGTGCCGGAACTGTTGTCAGCAGACTGGAGTCCTTCTCTACATCAGAGTGTGCTGTGTTTTTTGTGCTGACGTACAGCTGTGTGTGCGCGTACCGTGTCTGCTGCCCTGCTATAGATTTGTGTGGGACCTCTTGTTCAGGAAAAGATAGTAAAAATATTCTAGCTCAGTTCTGCCTTACACCTTATTGCCTCTTGCATGTGGTAACCAATGTCGTTCATGCTCTGACAGGGAAGCTGAGCTAGCCGTAATGTGTCTGACCCTGTCTCGGAAAAAACCTGAATGTGCCGCTGCCTAGCTACCAGTTGCCTCGCATACATACGCATACAAGCATGACGGGCACAAGTTCACCCAAATAAAATGTCACAATGATATCACAATACGATAGGCTTCACTGCAGCAATGATATCACTAAATGAAATAACACTTTAAATACAACAGTGTTATTACTGAAATATATGGCTTCTGCCAGAAATCTGTAGTCCTCCTGATTTTAATAAAAGGAACTTGTGCCTAATCAGAATGAAGAGCCAGTGTGCAAGCTGACAACGGTAATAACAGTCGTCGACTGTCGATTAATCTGATTATCGGCAGAGTGTGTCATCTATTATAAAAAGCAGTCATCTAACCTTCCAGTGGTGCTCGCGTAACCTCTCAATAGGACTTATTGGGGGCCTAGTTGGTGCATACAGCGAAGAAGTACGCAGCACACGGGAAAGACTGGACGGACTATAATAATAAAATATTTCTAGCGCAAATGATAGGGCACAAGATTTTCAACTTGTTTAATTTCACTCACATCGCCCAAATATATACCTTTTCTGAAGGTGCACAGAGAGGGGGCACAGCACAAGCAACTATCACATTGCACAAACAAATGGAAAAAGCATGGCTTCGACGCAAAGGAGAAGCGTTGAATGCGATAGCAACAAATTGGAAGGTCACGCAAAAAATGGCCAGCAGATTAAAACTTGCCCCGCGTTTTCACGCTCAAATGACGAAATGTACTTACATCTACAGATGAATTCGAATGTAAGTGCATCTGTTGTTACTTCGTTGTGTCTGAAAAGCGCGCCCTTTTCTCACACCGAGGCTGTGAACGATTTCAGTGACCTTTGTGCGCCCCGTAACTGCAACAGAATCGTTCTGATGAAAGCCCAAGGTGTATGATTGTCCCCACCGCGATATAAGCGAGCGCTAGAGCGTCCCCTCTCCGCAGGGCAAAGTTCGCATAGGAGGTCAAACCGCGTGTCCCTGCATTCTGACGATCTGGCGACAAGGGCTCATTGTGCCATCTCGCTGGTATGACTGAAAACACGATAGTTCACCTCAAGATGCCCATCGCCAGCAGTAAGCGGTAGATATTGTCACGGAGCAGTGACGTGGCTGAAGGCAGGAGACTGGATGATTAGACCAAACTGTTTATTTTGGGCGAAGCTGTGCCCGGTAAACAGTCAGGTTACGGTAGCACACTTGCACCGATAGTGGAGAACGCAGCCTCTGCTGTCGATCAACTGACAAGCGGCGAAATGTGATAGTGTTTATACTCTCGCCATCGAACGTTCTAGCGTTATCGCTAGCAGTGGTGTAGAATCCAGAACAATCTGAACTGCTCACGAAGTGGCCGTAATCTCAACAAAATGATCTACTGCAGTGGGAGTGGGGACATGAACAAGTGGGGAGTGGGGGCATGCATCCAATGCCTGCAAGCACTTGGTGACATCAGCTCCAGTTCTTGTGTCTTAACCCTGCCAGGCCTGTTTGCCTCAGCTGTGACGCATCGCCTTAAGGTATAGGTGCAGTTCTGGTGCACAAAGATGCTGATGGCGGGGAACATCCCATTGCTTTTGCCTCGAGGAGCTTGTCAAAAACAGAACAAAACTACAGTCAACACAACAAGGAGGCACTGGCTTTAGTGTTTGGTGTGGATCGGTTCCACCAGTACTTGTGGGGCATCTCATTCGAAGCACACACTGACCACAAGTCACTTCTTGGTCTGCTGGGTGCAAACAAGCCCGTTCCCATACAAGCTTCGCCTCGAGTGGTCAGGTGGGCAATGAAGCTGTCTGCTTACAAGTACGAACTTGTATACAAGCCTGGCAAAGAGCTCGGCCACGCTGATGCTCTTAGTAGACTGCCTCTCCCAACTGACACTACTGCATTACCACGACCTGCTGAAATCTTCTTGCTAGAGGAGGCATAACCGAGACTCCTTTCACCAGGTGTTGTGGCCCAAGCCACACGAAATGACCCACTTCTGGGCCATGTTGTTCTTGCCCTTCTGAAAGGTGAAAGCCTCCCAGTAAGGACCAGAGTGGAAACCCTTTAAATTCTAGAAGCTCAGAACTCGGTCCACAGGAGGGTTGTCTACTCTGGGGATCAAGAGTAGTGATCGCAAAGTCATTGCAGGCACATGTTCTTCATGCTAGCCACCCGGGTATCGAGAAGAGCAAGACGATTGCCAGGAGCCATGTTTGGTGGCCAGGCATTGACAATGATGTTGCCAACAGCGTGAAGAGCTGCGCTACGGGCCAGACTCAACATCGAGCTGCACAGCCGATTCAGCAGACGCCGTGGCCTTTTCCACAGCGACCCTAGTCAAGGCTTCACATTGGTTTTGGGGGACCATTTCTAGGTCACACATTCTTGGTTATTGTGGATGCGTTCTCAAAGTGGATATAAGTCTTTCCTGTGTCTTCCACATCTGCAGAAGCTACCATTTCTGCATTGAGAATTGCATTCGCTCAGCATGGCCTGCCTGATGTCATAGTTTCAGACAACGGTCCTGCCTTCACCAGTGCCCAGTACCTTGAGTTCTTAACTCGAAATGGAATACGCCGCATGCTTGTACCGCCGTATCACCCTGCCTCAAACGGCGCAGCTGAACAAGTTGTACAAACTGTGAAGAACAAACTCAAGAAGTCTGGTTCTGGGAACTTCCAAAGGCACATCTCCGGGTTTCTGTTCCACTATAGGACCACGCTACATGAAGTGACAGGTCGGCCACCGTGTGAACTCTTGACAGGAAGAATGTTCAAGACTCCATTGGATGTCTTCAGACCAAGCCTGCAGGCATCTGTATTCCTAAAACAACTCAAGCAGAAGTTGTATGCTGACAGAGGGTCTGGGCAGGCTCCATCACTACAGCCAGGTGATGATGTGTACGTGCGAAACTTTCGCAGGGGCACACCCTGGGTGCCTGCCAGTGTCGTGGACGGCACTCCATCATCAGCCAGTGCCCTTTTGAAGATGGCACCTTGAGAAACTGACACAGCGACCACTTGCGCCTTGTGCAGACAGAAACATTGGCCTCTCCTGAAACTGTTATCGTTGCAGCTCCACCACAGTTGGAGCCGCCGCTTCATCATGCGCCAACTGTTCCAGAAGTGCCTCATCAGGAACCGCTACCTGAAACTAGCTTCCCTGAGAGTAGCTGCGCCACGGAGAGTGACGGGACTATGCTCAACAGTGGTGTGCACGGGAACAGTGACTCTGTCGTGCCTACGCCTAGCACGCCGAAGTTGCGACGTGGCACAAGAACTAGGAAACCGGGGAATAGGTACTCCTCGTAGTCTTCCTCCTAACACTCCTAGGGGAGGAGTGTTACAATGTTGGTTCAAATGCAGCGCCCCCACGCGGCGCTGATAGTTGTGTTGAGCTGTGCAAACCTGGCACAGCGGCGGGGTGGCCGTTTTGGGAAACAATAAACTACAGTTCGTTCTGGGCTAAGGGCTCAGCATGTTCTCGTGTTCTTCGCGGGCCCGATGGCCTACTGTTCACGGTAGTCGCTACCGCCTGGCCATCAGTTAATTTACACATGCGAGACTGTTGCTCCATGCGCAGAAACCCTGGGGTGCTAGCCGCACGCTCGGAGTCGAATGTTTTTTCATCGCTCGTGCAGCCATGAAAGCGAATAGCGAGGCTCGGTTGAGCATGCGGGTGTCACATGGACACTTTCTATAGAAAGTGAATTTATGGACCGTGATTGACTCATCTCTGCATCTAGCGCAATCAAGAAACTTGAAATGGATAGCCATCGAAATTATATTGTGCGATGCCTGTATGGTCGGCAGCTTTTTTGAATGATGTAGTGGTTTAAGTACCGCGCATTTAACAGCTCAGGTAATACGAGTTCGATGCTACTACGCATGTAAAGTGAAGTATTCGACGAACAAGCGCAAGAATCTGAGCAGGTTGCCGAACGGGCACACAAACCACAAAACTAAGTGCGCACCTAGCAGAACTAGCAACACGTACGGACTACCACACCGTCACTACCGCACACACAACAGAAGTAAATATCACGGTTGTCAAAGAGCCCTGGAACAGGTTGATGAGTCCTAGACTCGTGGCCCTAGACATCGTGGCCTTCACGCAGGCTGGCCTTCAGCATACACTGAAACACCTGCCAAATGCAGGTGTTCAGTGTATGCTGAGTGAAATAAACTCACTTAAATTGTGAACTTGCTTCTTAATTCTGCTTCTTGCAGTGGGAAAGCTCGTACGGGTACCGGCTATAGATTTCGAGGAATCCACATTTGTATCTTCAGCACCAAGCATGGAATTTATGAACTTGTGTATGTTAGCGTCCTCTATCCTGCTTTTGGTAATATTTAGGGTGTCGCAGATATGGCCGTAAAAAGGTGAAATATGATAGAAGACACAACACACGACTCACGCACTGTTAAGAAAATCTAAAAGGAAGCTTGTATTTACCTAAGAAAACTAGGTTACAATATCACTCGCGCAACCGCTCAATACCACACATCGCACAACCGCTCAAGTCGCTCGCAATTCGCAGACTCTTGTTTGCTCGCCATTCTCGCTGCGTCTCTGGCTCTTCCCGCACTTTCTCGCTCTCCTCTCTCGACCACAGATCCGAGTACACATACGTGCACGCTGACACAAACACGCACATCACACACACACACACGTGCACAAATGGTTACACGACGCCAGTGGGGGAGGTCCGTTGCTTCGCCATTCAAGAAAGCAGTGTCGAACGTCCCGCAGGCCACGGATGCGCAAAGCGGCATGTTTCCCTCTTCTTGCACCCGAACTCGCAAGGCGCAATAAAGCGGGCCGCCGCCTTTGTGCCGACCCGGCGCCCGCAGCACTGGGAGGCTCGCCGATCGCTGCTGCCCATAAACAAGGAGGACGGCCCGCCTC